AATTGCTAAACCATGCCCTTTAAGAGGCCTGTTTACTAACTGAAATACACCATTTATGCATAGTTCTTTATTGTCTTTGGCCTTATAGTAACCACTTAAAAATGTTGTTTTCCAAAGTTACTTAATAACTCCCCACTCCCCTCAATTTGGTTACATCAAGCAATTGCATTTCCCACTCCCTTCAATCCGTCAGTGCTTGTGTGCCATTTTGGGTCCCTCCCACCTCTTGGTTGATGTGCATTGTTGGCTTACTCGTCAGGTATGTGAAACAGTGCCGTGGTTCTAGGTCAGAACTATGCAAAAAGCCAAGCTCAGGGAAGAACTGTTCCTTATTCCCCATTCCAGTTTCTCCCTTCCTTCCACTCCTTTCCTATCCACCATTTGTCAGTGACCAAACCTGTTCTTTTCTGGTTTACCCCTTCTGTTACCCATTCCTTCTTAATATCTTGTACCAAGCCCAGTTTATGGCAGAATGTCAGTAACTGTTTGACATTCAACTGTTTTCTGTAGTGAACCCTGACTCCTGAAGTCCATTCTATGTCTGCGGTCTCTCCTTTACATAATGAAACTGGCTACTTCATCTATGACACTTGACAAAAGGCTTGAAAACCACCACTTTCCTTAATTGGGTCAGCTCTGAGATGGAACCAAGCAGCCACACAGGGAAGTATTAGCTAATAATAATGAAGGCTATTACTCTTCCTGGACATGAAGAGCCACCAGTAACTAGAACTCAGGTTGATGGAAATTCTTTGGCAGCATTTTCACATTTTGGCTCTATTTTTTTTTTTTAACACAGCTTCTCAAAACAACTCGGAAGCATAAGAAATTATGTTTAAGTCTGTGGAAAACTACAAGATTCAAGGGAATAAGAGTTGCATAAACAATTGCAAGAAAAATAACTACTAGTAAAAGTTGCAGGGCTTTTTTTTCCTGTCAACACAATAACATCTTTCATTTTTCATTTGTCCCTTTTCTCTGTAATCAGTACTTGATTTTCCAATTAATGGGGAAGGAAGCCACCAGAGATGAGTCAGTAAATTTAAAACTAGTCTTAAATGTCTGGCAAGGAAAAGGAAGTGTTGCAAATGTACATCTATGGCTAAGGAGGAAACTGGCATTTGGTGTTAGGTACTCATTTTCATATCTGAACAACACTGGGATCAAAATTAAAAAATACAAAACTTTAGGATCAGCGTAATGTGGATAGGAAAGTCACATATGCCATAAGACATTTCCAAGAGGATAATTAAGTGTTTTATACATTCTGCAATTAAGTAGGCTTTTCCATACCTAAAGTAAAACCAGTCCAGTCCCCTGAAACCTTACTGTAAAGTGATAATTAGAGCATCTACTGATGGTGAGGCATGAAAAGGGTAGGATTATGGGTTTCAGGAGCATAGACAAGGTTATGGGCAACCCCAGAATCAATAAGTTTCATTTACACAGAGATCAGGATTGTAGTCTCTGTGGATCCAGGGACTTATGTGACATATCAGCGGCAAGGGCTTCCAAATCAAGACAGACTCAAGGCTAAACCCTGGCCAGGCCAATGACTGATTACATATCATTAGGTTGGAAACCTCCCTAAGCCTTGCTTTCTTCATCTCTATAATGGGCACAGTAATACCAACTTATGGGTGCAATGAGCATTAAATCCAACGTGAAGCACTTAGCAAGTGCCCAGCCAAAACAAGAGCTCAATGGGTAAGCAAAGCCTTGTGGAGGAGCGTAGGGAATCCGGAAACTGCCACCAGCGCTGGAATGCTGGCAATGCCACTTACCATGTGCCCTTGGAAAAGTCACTTCACTCTCAGAGCTGTTGAAGAGAGAGTAGTAATTCAGAATGGGAGTAATGGCCAATAATAACCGGCTCTGAGATAGGGATGATGACAAAGTGAGTAGTAGCACAGATCAAATGAATTAATATGAACACAGCAGTTAGAACAGGGCCAAGCTCATTGCACTCTGTAAGAATGAGTGATGATGATTATTAATTATGATAATTCAATCAGCCCACCAGAGAAATGGGGAGTGCGAGTGCACGGTGGTAAAAGTAAACTATTACACAGAGTACCAGGCCTGGTGGAGTGTGTTAGAAAGGGCTATTTTGGCACCTTACATCAATAGCTGAAGAGTATACACAGGCTTACCCCATTCTGTAAATGTTGTGTCAAGTTGTTTAACCCACAGCAGTAAACAGCCAAGCCAAAGTCAAGAGGACAAGTGCTAACACACTCATCAGGAATGTATCCTAGCAATTTGGCTGCAGGGAACAATATCAACAAAAGCCTTGCTGATGTGCTTTGCAAACCATACCCTGCAGTGGGCCTGCTTCAAAATATCTGGTTCTCTAGAGATAGAGAACAAATCTTTAAGGTAAATAAGATGCTACAATCTACAGTGCTGGGGTGCTCCATCTTTCTTCTTCAACCGTTCATCCTCTGGCTTATTTATTTAAATTGCTCATCTTCTAGAAAAGCTACATTTCAACTCATGAAAAAAATCAATACAAAGAAAACGAGTGGGCTGTTCTGTCCTTATTTCTAAACCTGCTAATAAATTCCTACCTCTCATTGTATTGACACTGTGTTAGGCAGGGAACTAGCTGTTGGGACCTTATTCCACTTAAACTCACCAAGAAAAGCATGTGTTTCATTAACTTTCCAGGACTCTTTCTTCCAGGCAAGGCGTTATCTCTTGCCCTCTTTCTTCCTTAGGGAAACAGGTGGTTCTGAAGAAGGGCAACGACACCCCAGGTTTCTTAGAGGGAAATTACTACAAGCTTACACACTCTTAGCCTCAATTCCCAAACTCAAGAATGCTCGGAAAATGGAAGGTTTCCTAAAAGTTATACTGAGGCAAAACTTAACCTGAAGTGACATGAGTCCCTAAATTTAAAAAAATTATCTAATTCGGTTTGAACATCACATACAGATTACAATATGCTGCCTCAGACCCCACTGGGGGTGCTATGTGGTATGTGCAAGGTTTTATTCTCCTAAAAGCAGTATTATCCTCCTAAACCCCCAAATTTCTCCATTCCAAAATAAGCTGGGCTGTAAGACTTTCAGATATACAACTGGGAACTTATAGGAGAGTTGCTAATGCTGTTATGTTCCAAACACAGCTTTGTGAACACAGTCAATGAGAAAAATAATTCTAGTGTTTTCTTTTTTTTTTTTTTTGTGAGATGGGAGTTTCGTTCTGTTGCCACGGCTGGAGTGCAGTAGCACGATCTTGGCTCACTGTAACCTCCGCCTCCCGGGTTCAGGTGATTCTCCTGCCTCCCGAGTAGCTGAGATTACAGGCACATGCCACCACACCTGACTGATTTTTATTTTAGTAGAGACAGGGTTTCCCCATGTTGGCCAGGCTGGTCTCGCACCCCTGACCTCAAGTGATCCACCCACCTCGGCCTTCCAAAGTGCTGGGATTACTGGCGTGAGCCACCATGCCCGGAAAATTCTAGCACTTTCTTTAAACTGCCTTCTTTTAAAACCAGAACTGGGACTGAATCTTTACACTGCTAATCTCATGATTTAAAATGGACAATAATCACTAATAATCACTCAGAAACGTCACCCAAAATGCTGTCCTTCCCTCACATGGCCGCTCCATAACTCATACTGTCTTGAGGTTTTATAGACAATACTCAATGGGGAAGGCTACTTAGAAGCAGACAGGCAGGGTTACCAAGAACATGTACCACTTCCTCATGTGGGTGCCTGCTCTTGGCAAGTACCCATTTGGAAGCCCAGCCCACTGAACACTGCATGAGAACTGGGTTGAAATTCCTGCTCCATTACCTAGCAAGATGCATGATACGGGCAAGCTGATATCCTCTTTGGGGTTCTTTTTCCTCATGCACAAACTGGGGAGAATACCACCTACTATTCAGGATTGCTGGAATGAAATGAAATAAAAGCATGCACCTAATCCGCAGGAATCAAGGTTAGCTTCTTTCCACAGCCTCTTTCCCTTTCCACACCCTCTCCTCTTCTGGCCGAGACATCATCTGGAGACAAGCTATAAGTAGAGAGCTCTAGTGTTTTCTTCTATGTGGACGAGTTCCTGCAGAGGTGTGTTAGTGGTGCCTGTTTGCGTATTGCAAAGTCGAGGGAAATGGATTCCTTTCAAGCTCCCTGAACCCAACTGGAAATCTGAACCTTTACGGAAAATAGGTGTTGAGTGTGGGAGGAGGGGTCTGCAAGGAGACCCCTGTGCAGGCCCCAGGAGGGTTGGGAGCAGAGGTATCATATAAGGACACCCAGTCCTCATAAGGGCATGGCCTTGTAATTCTAGATCTGGCTGATGATCTGAGGGAGGAAATGCTTTAACCATTCTTAAATCAGAAGTTTTTGCCCCGGCTCCACAGACAGACAGGTCCACCCCTGAGGTTCAACCAGTGTGGCAATTCTCAAGGGTCTCCATGTGATTTCAGTATGGAAGCCTAAGTTGCAAACTACTGCCCAGAAATTGTTAGTATTTGTTTCTCTAGAATGACAACAGAAACCTGGAGTACAAAAGACTCACAGGTGCAAGAATTTGCCTGCTTTGTCCACTCTGGTGGTCTAGCCTTGGGGAGAGGGTGGCGGGCAGCTGTGTCCACCATCAGAAAACGAAGGGGCCACAGGCAGTTGCTCCTGCTTGGCTTGGCCTGCCCTGGCTTCTGGGAAGGAAGGCACACTGGCTACACCCAGGCACCTGGACAGGTGGAGGTAGGTCTCTAACTGTGCAGACAGACGGGGCACCAGCCCTGGATGTGGGGTGGGAACAGGGTGGGCTCGTGGGAACTGGTCAGGGAAGAGGACCTCTAGGGGCTCTATTTCTCCCCTGAGAACAAAGCCCCCTCCTCCCTGATTAGGAAGGGAAAAATACACAGAACAGGGCCCCACATAGCCCAGGAGTTATCAGAATCATAGAACAGAGAACAAATGTTAACGTTTAACTGAATACGGTTTTTGGGAAACATGCTCGAGTCACCAGCATCGTCCCACCTGGGGCTTTCCCATTCCTGGTCATCCTTGTCTTTCTCTTCTTTGGTGTCTCCAGTATGTGGGTGTTTCTGCACAATTCGCATTCCACCAGCTTTCACTGAAATGAAAACAGACAGAGTGGGATTAATGTGGAAATGGGGCTGCCTGTGGATCAGGGGGACCAGTTGGAAAGGTTTTGGTTGCTCAATGGCCACAAGTTAGTCTGGAGAATCTGGCAATGACAATGATTAACTAGGGAAGGTCAAGGCTGTCGGGGTAAATTCAAAATGATACAGCACTCAGCATAATCTCTTACTATAGATCTGCTCAGAAACTTTCCAAGGCTCTTGCTTTTCTATTTGGTCACCTTTCAAGTATTTTGTAAGAGCAGCCATGTAACCAGGGCACAAACTACACAAAGAGCATGGCTGCTGCTTTCAGTTCTCCACAGCCTCAACACAAGGGCTCACCTCAACCCTCCCCTCTGAAATTTACCTTCTCAAATATCGAAGATGTTTTTGATGGGGTGATATGGTGATGGGTGACATCGGACAGCTACTGTGCCTTCACAGAGCCCAGGCAATTGGCAACAAAACTTCTCCTGCAGCTTTACCCAAACTGTGCTGTGAAAGCCTACTGCTGGCCAATGTTAACTTAGTTTCAAAAAACAGCTTTATTGATACGTAAGTCATGTAGAATACAATTCACTCATTTAAATGGTGTAATTCAATGGCTTTGAGTGCATTCAGAATTGTACAACCATTGCCATAATCAGTTTTAGGAGATTTTCATCACCCCAAACAGAAACCCCACACCCATGAACAGTCACCCTCCATTCCACCCCTCCCAACTCCAGGCCGCCAGTCACCTGAACGTGCTTATTCTGGACATTTGATATAAGTGGAATTATAAAATATGTGGCCTTTGGTGACTAGCTCCGTGCACTTAGCGTATTTTCAAGGTTCCTCCATGTTATAGCACATGTAAGTATCTCATTCCTCTTCTTGTCAAATAATATTCTATTGCATGGATATATCACATTGTATCTCTCCACTTGTCAATTAGACATTTGTGTTGTTTCTACTTTTTTGGCTATTATGAACAATGCAGCTATGAAGAACTTATACACAAGTTTTTGTATGGACATATGTTTTCATTTCCTTGAGTATATACCGAGAAATGGAACTGCCAGGCCACATGGTAACTCTGAATTTATCCTTCTGAAAACCACCAAGCTGTCTTCCAAAGCCTCCACACTATTTCACATTCCCACCAGTGTGTGGGTTCCAATTCTCCACATGTTCCCAACACTTGCTATTGTGTGTCTTTTTAATTATAGCCATCCTAATGGGTGTGATGTGGTCTCTTATTGTGGTTTGATTTGCAATTCCTTTATGGCTAATATGTTAATACTGTGTTGTAAGGGGTAGGGTGACCTAGGATCTAATAAGAGTGGGAAATGCTAGGTTGAACAAAATTAAATAGGTTTCCCCAAGGGAGACCTTCTTGGCCCTTAGTGTGCTACCCTGCATGAGGAAGACTTACGGCAGGCATAGAGCATGCCGGCTCTCCCCAGCCTATCTGACCACACAACTTTTTTTTTTTTTTTTTGGTATAATACCAGTTATCCTCCATCAAGACCACAGTGTTCCATGGAACGGAATTTGGAAAAGCTGGCTGCCCCTATATCCAAAAAGCCAGCCTCACATGGTAGCCACCAGCATGTGTTTTGGGGTCAGCACGTTCCTCCATGCCCTTAGCTATGTGGTCTCAGACTAGAGTCTGATTCTCAAAGATTCCCTGCTTCATCTGCAGAAAGGAGATAAACCTCCTCAGACTGTTGAAAGAGAGGTGTTCGGGAGAGTGGGGTGCTGGCTAGAAAGCAGGGCTGTTTTCCTTGCAGTCACTGGCCCCCGAGGCTCTGGGTGCAGGCCTTACTGAGAGCTTTACCCTTCAAGTCTCCACCACAAGATGGCTAACATCATGATACAGTCAACTTGCCACACCATGTCCTCTGGCATTTTAAATTGGGGTGGACCCTGCTGAGTCACAAAAGTCCAGGCCAAGTTTCTTTATGCCGCTGATGAACGGGAAGGAGAATGGGAGAGGCAGCCTGGGGCTTACATGCTTCAGGTTTACTGGTCTTCCATTTCCCTGGAAGACTCTGTCAGCCCCTGACTGGAGGGAGATGGTGACATTTGCTCCCAGGACCAGCACTGCCCCAGCAGCTGGCTGTTAGAAAAGGGCAAAAGAGAGCAAGGAAAATGAAGAACTGTGTTTAAACCATTCCTCTGCTGGCTTGGGTTTAGAACTAACATCTCCCCGCTGCCTGCACCTCTTATCAACAGAGAGGAGATTCTACTTAGGGCAGAAGGAAACAGAATCCTGTTCAGTAATTCTCTCAAAAATATGCTCTATATCGCATCAATTGATTTTTAATCATTGTATTTTTAATCATTTTTTTTTTTTTTTTTTGAGACGGAGTCTCGCTCTGTCGCCCAGGCTGGAGTGCAGTGGCGCGATCTCGGCTCACTGCAAGCTCCGCCTCCCGGGTTCACACCATTCTCCTGCCTCAGCCTCCCGAATAGCTGGGACTACAGGCGCCCACAACCGCGCCCGGCTAATTTTTTGTATTTTTAGTAGAGACGGGGTTTCACCGTGGTCTCGATCTCCTGACCTGGTGATCCGCCCGCCTCGGCCTCCCAAAGCGCTGGGATTACAGGCGTGAGCCACCGCGCCCGGCCTATTTTTAATCATTTTTAAAAAATCTAGAGCTTTTGTCTCAAATTCACTAGGTCTGTATTTGATGGGGTCTTATTCTTTTCTTGTGCGTTCAATTCCTTTATATAATCATTTTAGTTATATATCCAATTATTTGATTTTCTAAAGTCCTCTGGAGTCTAATTCTGCTGTCTGTTTTTGTCTGTGGATTCTTGCTCTTGTCCTGGGAGACTGTGGAGGAGGAATCTGTCTTCACTGGGCTTTACCAGTAAGGATCTTATGGGGCCTGTGATGACAGCAACCCTCTGGGGAGATGCTACATGTGTTTTTATCAAGTCAGGAGTATGGGTGTCTGAAAATCCTTTTCAAGGCAGATTTCTCAGAAGACAAATTGCCAAACAGTGCAAATATGAACAGAACTCATGTAAACGCAAACCTTTGTTTACAAATTCTCAAGGAGACTTCTGTCCCCATGTAGAGCCCAGGCTGACACAGCCCGGCTTCCTGGCCCTCCCAGGGCCACTGGGCAGGTTTCCCTCTTCCACCCTTTCCCCAGGGGTGTGGCCTCTGAGCATCCAGCCTTGGCTATTCCCTGCCTCCTGTGGGACCACCTCTCATGCTAAAGGTCTGAATTTCAGTTCTTTCTTCGTTTTGGGTTTCTAGGAATTCCTTTCACTTCAAGGTCAAATTTTTTTTAAAAAAGCAAAAAGCCAAAGACAAAACAGAAGAGAACTACCATTTGCAGGCAGCTTTTTAATCTAAGATTTCCCAGCCTACATAGTTGGCCTCCCAATCAGAAATGGAGACTGAAAATACAATTATCTACACCTTAAGGTCATTTTCCACTCTCTTGAAGCATAGGATCTCAGAGTTATGAATGTTTTGGGCCCAAGGAAGAGCGTAGAAGAACTGTCCCACTAAATGCTCTTTAAAAATTAATTTTCCTCCCCGCTCTATCCCACCTCTTTCCCATACTCATCAGAAATTGATGAAAGATACTATTATGGGCTGAATAGTATACCCCCAAAATTCATAGGTTGAAGTCCTGACATACCCTTAAATTGCAATTGTATTTGGACAGAGGGTCTTTAAAAGATAATCAAGTTAAAATAAGGAATTGAGGTAGGGCTCTAATATAATAGAAATGGTGTCTTTATAAGAGAAAGAGACACCGGGGATGTGCACACACAAAGAAATGGCCTGTGAGGAAACAGCAAGAAAGTGCCGTCTGCAAGACCAGGAGAGAGGCCTCAGGAGAAAGCAGGGCTGCCGACACCTTGATCGTGGACTTCGGCCTCCCAAGCTGGGAGAAATAAATGTCTGTGGTTTAAGCCACCCAGTCTGTGGTATTTTGTTAAGGCAGGATGAACCAATAATACAGATGCCCATTTAAAAATGATCTCTGAATCTTTTCAACTTGGCACACGTAAAACTTTTAAACTATAACTCACAGATGTGTTCATAAAGTAAAAATAAAAAGAGCTGTGCAACTAACTACAAAGAAAACTAATGATGAATGTCAAGGTGACATTTGAAATGATCAAGTCTTCCGCAGCTCCTGCAGAGCAGCCTGTCCACTCCTCCACTGAAATAAGCACACAATGTCAGGGCTCAGTCACCCAGCATTAGCACTTGCATTTAATTTAGTTTCTAAAAACAATTAACTTCATTAATCCCTCTCAGTATGTTTGGTGATTAATGTAGCAATAAAAAGTGGCAATAATCATAATAACTCAAAGCTGAGACAGGTTCATTTTAACTTGCAGTACTGCCAAAAAATATGACAGCACATATTTATTATGATTGTTGCATCACTGTCTCTAGAACTCTTCATTTGTAAAACTACAAAAGCAGAATTACTTTTGCAGAAATCTTTGCAGAATGATTTGCAAATAAGTATTTTTAGGAGAAACAGAAAAACCTTAGATTTTTGTTGTGGTGGTTGTTATTCAAATGAGAGCTTTGAATGTAAAGAATAAGCTTCCTCTTAGCAGAAATGCTGTGCAGCGGCTAAGAACACAGATGCTGGAGCCAGAATCTTGGGTTCAAATCCCAGTTCTGCCTGTGTGTGCATGTGCCTGTACACATGTGTGCCTACGTACGTGCTTGTGTGTGTGTGTGGCTGTGTGTGGGCAAGTTGCTGAAGCTCTCTGTGCCTCAGGGTCTTCCACCTATGAAGAAAGGGTGACAATGTTCCCCTCTCTCAGGGCCAACTGAGGATTACATGAGTTAGCACACATGAAATGCCTCCAACAGGGTCTGGCACACAGGATGTGCTCGACTGTTAGCTAGTCTTATTAAACGGGTTTTTAATTTAACATTTAGTACTTAGAGAGGCCTCTAGGTTCCTCAAATCGTTGGTGCTTTTCCAGTTCTTCACCCTCTCTTCACAGCAGT